GTCTGCTGGCTGCGACCCCGGAGCCGCCGGTCCACGCGCTCCCGGACGCCCTCAACAACTTGAGGACGCAGGAGGGCCCCGGGGACGGCCTGAGGTGAGGGGCTGGGCCGCAGACGCGCGCTTTGTCGCCATTGGCTGCTTGCAGCAACGTCCGTGGTGCGATTGGTCCGCTTCTTGGTGCCTCTTCCTGATTGGCCATCTGGGCCCCGGGCGCTACAGCCGCTTTCTGATTGGGTCATCGCACGGCTCGTCTCGGGCCGTGGGTGGGAAAGCGGATGGTCCGAGAACTTCGGGGCACTGGCGCTTCCGTTCGTTCCTTTCAGCTCCTCAGCGGACTGGGATGGCCCCGAAGATGGAGACTCCCGGGGGATCTACGTCATTTCTGCGCCCGCCCTGTGTGCTCGGGAGGTAGCCGCGCCCCCTCCCCTCCTCGGGCGGGGCTGGCTGGGGTCGCTGTGCGGTTCTCTCCGGGGCCGAGGAGGCGGGCTCCCACCCTTCAGGGCCGACGGCATTCATTCGGGGCTGCTTGCGCGCCGTGGGGCGGCAGGAGGCCTCCGTGGGAGCCTGTGCGGGAGCTGCGCCTCGGGACGACCCTCGCCGCCCCCGCTAACGCGCCCCCTTCTCCTTTCCAGGCCTGACGCCCCTCCCCTGCTCAGAGCCTGCGGGCCGAGCCTGGACCCCCGCAGGCCGCAGGGAGGGAGTGGATCTTCCCTGCGAGCTGTACATAGTGGTTATTTATATCCTGTTTTTTATCCACCCCCCCACCTCTCCAGAGACATCTATAAAAGTTCTTATTTTGCTCAGTTTTGACGCATCAGGCATTTGGTGTCGGGGCCAATGGGAAGAGAGATTTGTGTCTCCCGAGGAGAATAATAGGACTATGTTGCCGGGGTCAGACATTCAACTCAAACCGGTTTAAATAACAGGGGACTTGCTGGCGCCCCTCCTGCAGCAGGCTCCGTGGTCCACACGCTCACAGCGAGCCGCGTGCTGGGCTCTTGAGACGATGCTCAGGCTTCATTGGCTCAGCTGATGTCGGGGGCAGCAGGTGTAGTCCTCCGCGGCGGGGGCGGGTCCTGGGAGCAGGGTCTTCCATAGGAGAGCACCCACCAGGGAGACTACTGGGCCCGGGGGCTTCGCAGCAGGCATTCCCAGCAGGGTGTCCCAGAACAGGGACTCCTCCTGCCACACCTGTGTGCTGTTGAACACCCCACCTCCGTTGCATCCACTCATCAACTAAGATGGAAGATTACAAAAACCGGTGACAGTCGCACATGAATTTTATTGAAAATGAGAAGCAAATGGGAGACAAATGACAGGCAAGGTAACCGATCGGGACCGACACTCCTTACCAGAGTGCGGTCCCCAACAGCGGTTACACGGCTTTTTATAGGGTTCTGTCCACTAGGGCTCACAATTTCGAACTGGAACCTGGTATGCAGTGAACAATAAAAAGAAAACCAGACATGGTTGTAAGATAACAGTTAACAACAACAAACCCAACAACAGGTCCAAGATACAGTTGTAAGATAACAGTTGAGGACACATTTTGGTCAACCCAGTTCCTGGGAATTTGGGCCCACAATTTCCCAAGATCCACCCTTAGCCGTCAGCGAGCAAAGCTGATATGTGCAGAAGCAAGAGGTCTGCAGTTAGCTTTTAGCCACACTCACCCCATTTTGATTCTTTTTTGTTTTTAAAGATTTATTTATTTGAAAGAGCTACAGAGAGAGGTAAAGACAGAGAGAGAGAGAGAGTCTTCTATCTGCTGGTTCACTCCCCAACTGGCCACAACTGCTGGAGCTGTGCTGATCTGAAGCCAGGAGTCAGGAACCTCTTCCAGGTCTCCCATGTGGGTGCAGGGGCCCAAGGACATGGCCCATCTTCCATTGCTTTCCCAGGCCATAGCAGAGAGCTGGATTGGAAGAGGAGCAGCCGGGACTAGAACCGGCACCCATATGGGATGCCGGTGCTTCAGGCTAGGGCATTAACCTGTTGTGCCACAGTGCCAGCCCCCCATTTTGATTCTGATTCTACACCCCCACCCTTAGTGGTATTGTGGAACACCTCAGGAAGGTGCCCCTGATGGGCCAGGTAACAGCTTTCCCTTTATCGTGGGGAGCACCTGACCGATCCTGTCATTCCTTGGGGAGGTGTGCTAAGGCCCATCCAGGTAATAACAGGTGGGACACTGGCAATTTGCTGTGAAATTCAGGAGCAAGAACATGATAAAATGGGAGTGAACACAACGCAGGCTGGGGACTGTAGGGTGAGTGGCTTCCATAAGAAGTAGCTACTCGTGCAGCACGTGGGACCGTTACAGTCCTGGCTCTTCTCTTTAAGGATTTATTTTGTTTATTTGAAAGTTAGAGAGACAGAGAGAGAGAGCTCTTCATCTATTGGTTCACTCCCCAAATGTCCACAACGGCCAGAACTGGACCAGTCTGAAGCCAGGGGCCAGGAACTTCTTCCAGGTCTCCCATGCACGGGCAGGGGCTCAAGCACTTGGGCCATCTTCCACTGCTTTGCTAGGCCACCAGCAGGGGGCTGGATCCGAAGTGGAGCAGCCGGGACTTGAACCGGAGCCCAAATGGGATGCTGTCGTTGCAAGTGGCGGCTTCACCCCCAGGCCCCGTGGCTCTGCTTCTGATTCCAGCCTCCTGCTAGTGCTCTAGCTGGGAGACAGCAGGCAGCGGCTCAAGTACTTGGGTCCCTGCCCCCTCAATGCGAGCCCTGGATTGAGTTCCAGACTCCTGGCTCTGGCCTGGCCCGGACCTGGCTGTTGAAGGCATTTGGGGAGTGAATGAGTCCCACTGGGGCTCACAGAACTCGCAGAATAGCTGGGTGCCCCCTCAAACAGACTAAGCAGGGGAAAATGCCTCACTGCCAGCCTTGATGCTCCTGGTGGTGCTTTGTTGCGGGGCAAAGAGAGAGTGAAGTCAGCGGTGTGGGGAGAGGCCAGGGACTTGGCAGGGGCGTCCCCGCGGCGCTGACTTCCCCCAGAAAGTGCACCGAGTCTGGTCACCAGGGGGGTGCAGTTGCGCCTTGCGCCTAGAGTTCCTGCGTGTGTGTTTTCAGGATTCATTTTAGTTACTTGAAAGGCAGAGTGATAGAGGGAGAGAAAGATCTCCCATCCACTGATTTCACTCCCCAAGTACCCGAAATAGTCCAGCCTAAGCCATTCTGAAGCCGAGAGCTGGGAATTGCATCCTGGTCTCCTACGTGGGCGGCAGGGACCTGGGTACTTGGGTTATCTTCCCCTGTCTTCCCCGGCACATGAGCAGGAAGGTGGATCAGAAACAGAGCAGCGGGGCTCAAAGTGACACTCCCACTATGGGATGGCAGCATCCCAGGCAGCAGCTTAATTAGTTGTGCCACAACGTTGGCTTGGGCCTGCGGTTTTTAATGGGGCCTGTTCACACAGGCGTGGGTGACAGTCTGCGGCTGCCATGGGGGGCCCAGCACTCCCTCCCCCCATACATCGCATCATCAGCACCGACCGGCTGGGATGGCCCAAGGTCCTGTACAGGAAGGGCTTTGTGGATGGCCGGCGCCACGGCTCACTAGGCTAATCCTCTGCCTGCGACGCCGGTACTGCGGGTTCTAGTCCCGGTTTGGGCATCGGTTCTGTCCGGGTTGCCCCTCTTCCAGGCCAGCTCTCTGTGTGGCCCGGGAGTGCAGTGGAGGATGGCCCAGGTCCTTGGGCCCTGCACCTGCATGGGAGACCAGGAGAAGCACCTGGCTCCTGGCTTTGGACACTTGGGGAGTGAACCAACGAAAAGAAGACCTTTCTCTCTCTCTCTCACTGTGTAACTCTGTGTGTAAAAAAAAAGGGGGGGGAGGGCTTCACGGAGGCATGGCGATCAGCTCCCAGGAGCCCTGGGCAAAAGAGCACACCTCTGTGGGCCAGGTCCAGCCTTTAACGCACAGAGCATCAGTACCCCAAGGCTTCAGGGTGGCGTCCAGACGTCCCTGCGTGGCCACTGCCCTTGCCCCAGGCCCACGTCTGCACCGCTCGCTGTCGCTCCAGCCCTGTTGGGCATCATTAGCTCCTGGAACAAGCCTGGCATTTCCTTCTGCCGCCAGCAAACTGCCACCTTACCCAGCTACCTCCCCCAACCTCAGTGCAGTGCCCACTGGTGTGCCACTCGTGCTAGACGCTGGAAGCAGCAGGGTCGGAGACCACTCCCCAGCCTGGAGTCCCTCTCAGGGTCCCTGGACTGTGGAGCTGGAGTTTGGATCCCAGCTGGTGGCAGGAATGCAGATTCCTGGTGGCGGCTGTGGCCTCTGGGTCTCAGCAGCCCCCTCCCCAGGAAGCCCTGTCTGCTGCCCCCTATAGGCTGCCCCTCTTTGGGAGAGGTGTATTTCCCCCGACTGTCCCGTGAGGACAGAGCTTTGCTGAGCACTGCTTTGCCCCGAAAATTCCCCCAGCACCGGACCGCGCTCACAGTAGGCACTCAACATGCAGATACTGAACGCAGGCACGAGAGCAGCGGCTGCGGGACGCACGAGGGCACACTGTGTGCTGTTCATCCCCGTGCGGGTCAGGCGAGTGGAAATTACTCGGCGGCGGCCGGCGCCGCGGCTCAATAGGTTAATCCTCCGCCTGCGGCGCCGGCACCCCAGGTTATAGTCCCGGTCAGGGTGCCGGACTCTGTCCCGGTTGCCCCTTCTTCAGGCAGCCTCTGCTGTGGTGGCCCCGGGAGTGCAGTGGAGGATGGCCCAAGTCCTTGGGCCCTGCACCCCATGGGAGACCAGGATAAGTACCTGGATCCTGGCTTCAGATCAGCGAGGTGCGCCGGCCGCAGCGCGCCAGCCATTGGAGGGTGAACCAACGGCAAAAGGGAGACCTTTCTCTCTCTCTCTCTCTCTCTCTCTCTCTCTCTCTCTCTCTCTCACTCTCACTCTTCACTCTGCCTGTCAAAAAATTAAAAAAAAAAAAAGAACCTCGGCGGCGAGTGGAACCCGGCGGGTGTAACAGTGCCCCCTTGTGGCCGCGTCGCCTCTCAGAACCCCGGGGAGCCACAGGCTCTTCCCGCCCCGGGAAGGAGGGCTGGGGGGCACTCCCCCGGGATCCCACCCCGTTACCCCGGCCCCACCGGGTCCCCATGAACAACCAGGCGCGGACCCCAGCTCCCGCCCAGGCCCGGACCTCAAGTGTCGTCCGGGCTTCGGCCCCTACCCGGGTTTCCACCCAGATCCGGACTCCAGCTACAGGCTGGACCCCGACCCCAGTCCAGGCCTCGACTCCAGTCCGGACCCAGACCCCGGTCCCAGCCTCGACCCCGTTCTGGCCCCCGACCCCAGTTCCAGCCTCGAGCCCGGTCAGGACCCCGACCCTGGTCCAGGCCTCAACCCCGGTCCGGACCCCGACCCTGGGCCAGGCGTCGACCCCGGTCCGGACCCCGACCCCGGTCCAGGCCTTGACTCCGGTCCGGACCCCGACCCCGGTCCAGACCTTGACTCCGGTCCGGACCCCGACCCCAGTCCAGGCCTCGACCCCGGTCCGGACTCCGACCCCGGCCTCGACCCCGGTCCGGTCCCCGACTCTGGTCCAGACTTTAAATCTGGTTCGGATCCTGTCTCCAGGCCGTACCCCGACCCCAGGCCGTACCCCAACTCCGGTCGGGACCCCGACTCCGGTGGGGACCCCGACTCCAGTCCGAACCCCGGCGCCAGTCGGGACCCCGACTCCGGTCCGGACCCCAGCCCCAGTGAGGACCCCTGCTCCGGTCGGAACTCCGAATCCGGTTCGGACCCCGGCTCCGGTCTCGACCCCAGCTCCGGCCGGAACCCCGGCTCCGGTCTGGACCCCGGCTCCGGTTCGGAGCCCGGCCGCGGTCTGGTCCCTGACTCCAGTTCGGACCCCGACTCTGGCCTGGTTGCCAGGCCCGCTAGCCCCGGGCCCGGCCGCGGTGCCGGCCTCGGACGCCTCCCTGAACACGGCACTCGTCTTGGAGCCGTCCCTGGAGCCGTCCCTGGAGCCGTCCCTGGAGCCCGCCCCGGAGCCGGCGCTGTCGGAGGCGGCTCCCGCGCCGCTGTGGAGCCTGAAGCGCGGGCGGCTGTCGAGCGCCGTCGCCGCGCCCGCCCCGGAGCCGCCTCCCGCGCTCTCGGCGTCCGCCGCTGCTGTCCTGGGGGCCACCCGGTTCACCAACTCCTCGGGCCCTGGGCCCGCCCCAGAGCCCGGCCCGGAGCCCGGCCCGGAGCCCGCGCCGAAGCCCGCCCCTTCGGCCATCTCCGTGTGCTCCAACGCGGCGGCCTCCACCAGCAAGACCCTCCAAATCGACAAGAGAATCTTGGTCCGAGTCGTTTACTGGTGAGGGCACGGAGCAGCCATCAGCCTCCCTCCCCGGGCCAGGGCACGACCAGGGAGAGGGTCCCCGGGGAGACCCGGTTCCACCCATCCTTTCCTTGGGCCTGGAGAGCTCTGGGTCCAGTCTTGGCCCAGGCTCTGAGCCTCATTCATTCCTTCATTCACGCTCTACTTCATTTATTCATTTCTGATTCCTGTGAGCCTCGCTCATTCACTCTTTAAAAAAGAATTCTGTGTCCTTTTTCTCCCTCCCTATTTTTGTTTTAAACAATATTTATTTATTTGAAAAAGCGTTACAGAGAGGGAGAGACAGAGAGATCTTCCATCCACTAGTTTGCAACAGCCGGGGCTGGGCTGAAGCCAGGAGCCAGGAGCTTCATGCGGGAGGCAGGGGCTTGAGGACTCGGGCCACCCTCCACTGTTTTCCAGGGAGCTAGATTGGAAGTGGAGCCCTTGGGACTCCTCGAACCGGTGCTTCTAAGGGATGCCGGTGTCGCAGTCTTTGGCTTTACCACAGTACCACAGTGCCGTCCCCAATTTTTATTTACTTACTTGAAAGGCGACAGACTGAGAGACCTTTCATTTGCTGGTTCACTCCCCCCCAAAACTGCAAGAGCTGGAGCTGGGCCAGGCTGAAACCCAGAGCCTGGAACTCCATCCAGGTCTCCTGTGTGGGTGGCAGGGCCCCAGGTCCATCACCTGTGCCCTCCCAGGTCAGCTCCCCACTCCGGCCCCTGGGCTTCTCTCTGGAAGGCTCCACACCTGTCTTTTCTCAGCCCAGGTGTTTGCGCCATCTCTCTCTCCCGTCTAGTTCTCGTGTCTCCTCTTCCCTTTCTCTCCCTATCCCCTCCTTTCTGTCCGACTCCATGGAGCCATTCCTTCCAGAACCACTATGTGCCGGGCCCTGTTCTTGGCATCAGGGACACAGCAGTGAGCGGGGACGGGGATGGCTGTCCTGTGCCACTGACCTGCTGGCCTGGGGAGGCTCCTTAGTGCTGGGGACAACATCTACGGGGCCACAGTTTACCTGGGGAGGCGGGGGAGCTCTCACTAGCTCTCATCTGTGTCCTGCAGATGGAGCCGCCAGTGCGCAGCCTGAGGCGCAGGGTGGGGTGGAGGGAGTGCTGGAGGCCGAGCTAGGTTTCTGGGGCTGGAATGGGTGAACTGTGTGTGTGTTGGGGGGGAGGGCACCTCACGGGCGGCTCACGGGAGGGTTCTGAGCACAGGGGAGGGACGCAGCTCAGGTGTTCCCGTCTCGGGTGTATTGGGCTTGAGAAGATACTGATGTGGTCTCTTTCATCTCTCTGCCTCCCTCCTGCCCTCGGCTGCCAGTGGCCTCTGAAGCTATGGCCTTCGGGTGAGTGGCTTTGACCTTAGAGGTGGGGTCACGAGGACTGGGAGGCGGTCCTCCCCCCCACGCTGTGACCCTGTAACTCTCCCCTCTCCTCAGTACATTCTACTGAAAAAGAACCTGGAGGAGCTATTTCCAGATTGTCTGCTCTTTGTAAGTGTTCTGGCGGCCCCAGGGGCCTGGGGGTGTCAGGGCTCTGAGATCCCAAGGGGCTTGGAGGGGAGCTCTTACCCTCCTCTCCCCCACCCCCCAACATTCCGTCCCCAGGAGGAGGAGAGAGCTACCCAGGCCTCTGGGGAGTTTGAAGTGTTTGTGAATGGGAAACTGGTTCATTCCAAGAAGGTGATTCCGGGTGAGGGTCCCTGCCGGGGAGGGAGGGGGCGGTGCTGGAGCTTCGGGGTGGGAGACGTTTGTGCCCTTTCCTGCCTGTGCCCAGAAAGGTGATGGCTTTGTGGACGAGGTCAAGCTGCGGAAAATTGTGACTGCTATCAACGAAGAGATCAAGAAAAGGTAGCAGTGACAGTGTAGGCTGGGCTGGGAGCCGGGGGGTGGGCAGGACACCGGCTGGGTGCCAGGCCAGCCCAGCCTGTGCCCACTGCGAGAGTCACGAGTCACCGCCGCCTTCGGAACCCTGGTTTCCTGTCTGTGGAAGGGGTTGCCGAGGGGTCCCATGAGCTGGCCCCCGGACGGAAGTGGCTCATGGTGGGGCTCAGGGGATGTCTCTCAGAAGACCTTAAAAGAAAATGCTGTTCAACAACAGCACGCGGCTTGTACATTGAGCACGGGACGCATTAACAGTTCAGCGCCTCACTTGCAGCAGGTGCGTGCAGAGTGCTCCGTAGGCATCTGTGGCCGGCACCGTGTGGGTGTGGATTGGACCGAAGACGCAGAACGTGGAATCCACCATGGCAATGGTGTTCAAGGTACTTGCGAGAATGCGCCACGATTATTTGCCACCGATGCTGGATGTTTTTCCTTTAATTTGAGAGGCAGAGACAAAGAGAGGGAGGGAGGGCTCCCATCCACGGTTTGGGAATTCCAGCCAGGTGGGTGGCAGGAACCCAGCTGCCTGGGTTCATCACTGCTTCCTCCCAGGTCCACACTAGCAGGAAGCTGGAGTCAGGGCAGAGCCAGGTATGAACCCCAGGCCCTCTGTCATGGGATTGCAGGCACTGGATTTTTAGGGGCATTTACTATATACCCACTAGCAAGCTGCTAGGGCTTAGTGTTTGATCTGTTGTAGTTTTATTTAAAAAAGAAAGATTTAAATTTGAAAGGCAGAGTGACACAGAAAAGGGGGGGAGATAAAGAGAGAGAGAGATCCTTCATCTGCTGATTCACCCCCCAAAATAGCAGCAACGGCCAGGTCTGGGCCATGCAGAAGCCAGGCACCAAGAACTCCATCCAGGTCTGTCACATGGTGGCAGGGCCATTACCTGCTGCCTTCCCGGGTGCATTAATAAGGAGCCTGCTTGCAAACAGAGCAGCTGGGACTTGAACCAGTGCTCCAGTATGGGATGCCAGCATCACAAGCAGCCGCTTAATCCACTGCGCCACATCGGCCCCTCCTCTGTTGCATTGGTTGTCAACTTTATTGAGGTCCTAGTGACTATAAAGCAGTCCCTGTTGCAAGGGTACACACTGAGATCTGACAGATACCCCAGCAGTCCCCCAAGTCCAGATGACATTGTAGCCGCATCTCATAGGTTTCCTGGGGAGCCTCTATAATTTTCCCATCCTTTGCCCTAACCTAAGCCATTGCTGATCTTCTGTGATCACAGATTTGTTTTGCATTTTCTAGAATTTTTTTTTATATAAACGCCATAAAGTTGAAAAATACTTTGGTGGAAATTTTTAGACCCACTCATTGAGAGAATACTATTCTCAAAATATCCCATCTGCCAGCTCACTCCCAAATGCCCACAGCAGTCCCTGGAGCCAGGAGCCAAGAGTTCTCACCAGGTCTCGCTCATGGAGACGTGCGCCATTCCCGCCACCTCCCAGGGTCTGTGTCAGCAGGAGCTGGGGCGGGTTTTGAAGGCAGACAGGGATGTGTCTCAACCTCTAGGCCAAACGCCTGCCTCTGTCACTTTTCTTGTCTCATTTAATCTGTTCTTCCCATTTACTTATTGCACTGTAGTATGGAGCATTTTCAATTATATTCCTGATCTCACGTCACCTCTCAAACTTCCATCTGACTCTCTAATAGATAACCATTTAAAACAGAAACAGGGCCGGCGCTGCAGTTCACTAGGCTAATCCTCCGCCTGTGGTGCCGGCACCCCAGGTTCTAGTCCCAGTTGGGGTGCTGGTTCTGTCCCGGTTGCTCCTCTTTCAGGCCAGCTCTCTGCTGTGGCCCGGGAAGGCAGTGGAGGATGGTCCAGGTCCTTGGGCCCTGCACCTGCATGGGAGACCAGGATAACCACCTGGCTCCTGGCTTCGGATCAGTGTGGTGCGCCGGCCGCAGCGGCCATTGGGGGGTGAACCAACGGAAAAGGAAGACCTTTCTGTCTCTCTCTCACTGTCCACTCTTTCAAAAAAATAAAAATAAAAAAAAAATAAAACAGAAATAGAAGACCCTTACCACTTCTCACAAAAGCTTTGTCTAAATACCCTCTGGTATCTAACAATGTATTTTTCAGCTGGTTTGTGGGATCAAGATCCAGACAAGATCCATACATTCTAATGGCTATTTTTAAAGAATTATAAGGAGGATTTCTGAATGCCTACTGTTGCCAGGCTCTTAGCAGGTCAGGTCTATGTGCTAGCAGTCAAGCTGGGGGCAGGGGAGGTGTCTGTCACATCTGCCAACAGAGTACGGCGGTGGCTACGTATGCAGTTTCCAGGGTCACAGAGATGGACATTCAAATCCCGGACCCACCGTCCCTGCCAGGGCTTGCCAAGGACTTTCTTCAGGAAGCGACAGCTGCTGTTATTGGGATCCATCAGGACTGATTCTGTTCTGATTGCAATAGAAAACCCAGCTCAAACTGACTTTACACACACACATACACACCCACACAATATATCGGTAATCTAAATAAAAACTCTAGGGTGTAATTTTGTTGACTTCAGGCATGGCTAGATCCAGGCACCAAAAGGTTGTCTTTGAGGGTGAGAGTCTGGTGTGCTGGGATGCTCACATCTCGTACCGGAGTGCTTGGTGTGGACCCTGGCTCTGCTTCCAACCCAGCTTCCTGCTAATGCACACCTTGGAACGCAGCCGGTGATGGCTCAAGCACTTGGGCTCTTGCCACCCATGAGGGAGCTCTGGATTGAGTCTCAGGTGCCGGGATTTGGTCTGGCCCAGCCTTGGCTGTTGCTGGCATTTAGGGAGTGAATTAGCAGATGGAAAATCTCTCTCTCTTCACTGCCTGTCTCCCTCTGGCTTTCAAATAAAATGAAAATAAATAATTTTTTTTTGTAAGCTGCCTTTGGCTATCTGACTCCTCCTCATTGTGGCTCCTGTCCTTTTGCTGGACTGGCTTTATTTTCAGGCAGGCTCCTCCCCTTGGTGGCATAAATCCCGCAGAAGGTTCTCATTGGCTTAGATTAGGTTGTACAACCATCCATAATCAGTGAGACTCAAGAGAATGTAGCATTCTCACTGGCCAGCTGGAACTGTGTGCCCATTCTTACAATGGGGGCGGGGGTGGAATTGGGTCTTGGGAACCATGTAGGCGTGAGGTGCTGGGTGGCGGAGGTGGGGACAGTGAGCCAGTGCTGCTAGGCTCCAATCCCAGCCCTGCCACTTCCTGACGCTGGGACCAGGAGCAAATGCCTTCACCCCTCTGTGCCTCACTCTGCTCCTCTGTGGAGATTTGGTACCCTGTACCTCAGTCACCAAATATTTGCTGGGTACCTACTCTATGCTGGATATTGTTCTAGGCCCTGGGGAAAACAGTAGCAAACAAAACAAATTGCTGCCTCGTGGTGCTGAAGTTCTGGTGGGGGATAGACAGTGCCTCAGATCCCCGGATGAACAGGCAGATTAAAGGTGGCAGGTAGGCACTAGGGAGAACGATAAAGCAGGGCTGAGCGGCGCACTCTGCGAATTTTCTTTCCGAACTCTAAATCAAAAGCTTAGGGAAGACCTCACTAGGCAAGCGATGTAGGAACTCTGGGGGAGGGGCTTCAGGCTGGGGGGAGGGGCAAGGACAAAGGCGGGGGCATCAAGGTGCTTCAAAAAGGCTGTAGAAAATGGAATTGAAAGATGTTAACTTGGTGCAAATGTTTTGTTTAAAATTTTATTTGAGAGAATCACAAAGAGGGAGACTTACAAAGGCCCATACAGTGCAGGGGCAGAGCCAAGGTCAAAGCCAGAAGCCAGGAACTCAATCCATGTCTTCTACATGGATAGCAGGAACCCAATTACCTGAGACATCGTCACCACTGCCTCCCAGGGCTTGCAGTGGCAGGAAGCTGGTGTCAGGAGCCATAGCCAGGAATTTTTTTTTAATCCAAAGAAATTTTTTATTTAATGAGTATAAATTTCATAAGTCCAACTTTAGGAATACAGGGATTCTTCCCACCACACCTGCCCTCCCATCCCCACTCCCACCCCTTTCTCCTCCCTCTCCCATTCCCAGGCCCTTTATACACAGAAGACCAACTCTACACTAAGTAAAGATTTCAACAATTTACACACACACACACACACACACCTGTTTGAGAACAAGTTTTACAGTTAATTCTCATAATACAACTCATTGAGGACAGAGGTCCTGCATGGGGAGTTAGTGCACAGTGAGTCCTGTTGTTAATTTAACAATTAACACTCTGCTGTATGATGTCAGTGATAACCTGAGGCTCTTGACATGAACTGCCAAGGCTATGGAAGCCTTTTGAATCCACAGTCTCTGTCAGTATTTGGACAAGGCCATAAGCAAAATGGAAGTTCTTTCCTCCCTTCAGAGAAACGTACATCCTTCTTTGATGGTCCCTTCTTTCCAATGGGGTCTCACTCACAGAGATCCTTCATGTAGGACTTTTTTTTTTTTTTTTTTTTTTTTTTTTGCCATGGTGTCTTGGCTTTCTATGCCTGAATTGCTGAATTGCTCTCAGGGGCTTTTCAGCCAGACTAGATGCCTTAAGGGCTGATTCTGACAGAGCCAGGAATCTAACCAGGCACTTCAATGTGGGATGGGGGCATCTCAACCACTAGGGTGAATGCTGGCTCCACAAAAACAGATTCTGAAATTCTATCTGGTGTTTGAAAATTCTCAAGGAAACTACAGCAGGCATTGCAGTGTGTGGAAGGCACTAGAGCAGAGGCAGGCCCACTGTGGCTTTCGTGGCGTTCTTGTCATTGCTGTTCATTTCTCTCTCTTTCTCCTCTCCCCATCCCAGGAGCCTCAGCAAGATGATGAGAAGGGCTGAAATGTTGCCAGCCAGGTCCTTTTCTGATGGTGGCTGGGGCTGGGACGGGCTGGGGAGGGGTGAACAGTGAAATACACGTGCAGCCTGTCTCCTGTGTTCTGGTCTGACTGCTGTCGTCTTTACTTCTGTGTGTGAAGTCACCCACCGCGCACCGCGGTGCTCCCACTGACAGGCCTCTTGGGAGGCAGGGGAGGGTCATCTTGGTGTATGAGGCTAATCCTGTTGTTCCTGGTGGTCTAGCCTCAACTCCTTATACAGTTGAGTCCAATTTGTTTCTTTTATATAAAATCAATTTATTTTTCCTTTTATTTGAGAGAGACAAAGAGACAGATGGAGAGAGATCTTCCATCTGCTAGTTCACTCCCCAAATGCCAGCAACAGCCGGAGCTGGGCCAGGCCAAAGCCAGGAGCCTGGAGCTCCAGCCAGGCCTCACAAGTGGGTGGCAGAGGCCCAAGTACTTGAGCCTTCAGCAGCTGCCTAGGGTGCACATTAGCAGGACGCTGGACTGGAACCTTCGTGGGATGTGGAGTCCCAAGCGGCGATTTACCTGCTGAGCCACACACCCAGCCCGTTTGTTTCTTCTGTGTCTTCTTCATTTCCCAGGCCCTGGTTCAAGAGAAGGTTAGAAAACTTGCACCCACTGGCATTTTTTTTTTGGGGGGGGGGAGGAAACAGGCCATTGCCTCTCAAATCCCTGACCTTCCAAATAGCACCACATTCCAGAGTCCACATTCTAAATCCACAGACCTTAAGAGTCCCCGGGCTGGGCAGGGTCTCTGACACATTCAGTGGACAGTTCCGGGCCCCTCCTCTGCACCTGTCACCGTGGGCTCACTGGGCACATGGCAAGAGGTCAAGTGCACAGGCGTGGGAGTCAGTCTTGACCACTCAGTTGCGCTGGGACCTTGATTTCCGTCTCCATACAACCGGCACAACAGCAGTGTGTGACCTGTGGACTTCCTCTGAAAGCTGCATTTAAACTTCAGCCTGGAAGGGATTCTCAGAAGCCTGGCACAGAATCACAGCCGTGCATCACTTAATGAGGGGGACACATCCCAGGACACGCAGCGGGGGCTGATTTCATCACCGCTCAAACATTAGGGTGCGGAGGCTGCAGGCAGAGCTCACCGCTCTGCAGACATTGCACAGGCACCTGCGCCCTCACAAACATACATGCGCAGACCCCCGTCACCGCGCTCTCATGCTTAGAGATGGGACGTGGAAGACATCGGGGACGCCAGACCGGTTTCTTCCGCTCATGCAGCACGGGAACCCAGTCTCTCGGGGGCCATCTTCCTTCTCCTGCTTTGAGCCTGGCTTACAGGCCTCTACAGGGAGGTCTTCAAAAAGGTTCAAAGGGCAGAAATTTGCTCACAAAGTCCATGGGCACCAGCAAGTCCCCTGTAACCATTTTTCTATGAAGCAGTGACCTAGTGCTCGTTCCTCTACGCCTTGTAACTGAAATGCACTTGGTGGTTGACGGCTTATGATTTGATCTTTTTTTTTTTTTTAAGATTTATTTATTTATTTGAAAGTCAGAGTTACACAGAGAGAGGAGAGGCAGAGAGAGAGAGAGAGAGAGGTCTCCCATCAGGTGGTTCACTCCCCAATTGGCCGCAATGGCTGGAGCTGTGCTGATCCAAAGCCAGGAGGCAGGAGCTTCTTCTAGGTCTCCCACACGCGTGCAGGGGCCCAAGGGCTTGGGCTATCTTCTCCTGCTTTCCCAGCCCACAGCAGAGAGCTGGATTGGAAGTGGAGCAGCCGGGACGTGAACTGATATCCATACGGGAGGCCTAGCCCACCATGCCACAGCGCCGGCCCACTACAATGTCCAACAATGTCAACATGTTTTTGAGATCTAACCACACTGACACACATGAAATGTATCACGGATCTTTTACTGGATTAATAGTCTCCTTATGCACCAGTAACATAATTACAATGAAATCACTAGTTCACAGCATTTTAAGCACATGATTAATTTATTACCAAATTGTTAACATATTGCCAAATTGTTCTCCAGAGGACTATAAGCTTTCAAGTCACCAGCAAAGTATCTGGGTGTTCTCATATCCTCTCTATCATCTGACATATACATAATATATATATTTTAACCCGATGGGTGAAAACAGGCACCACAATGCTGTGCTAAGTTGCATTTTTTGGTCAGCGCTGCTTGTTTTGTTGATGGTGTATTTAGTTGTATAGGAGCTTCAGGGATGTGATGTCTTCAAATTATCAGTCTTGCCTGTCTGAGTCTCCTCTGGGTTGCTTTAACAAAATCCTGAGACTGGAGTTTTCCGAAGAAGAGAGGTTTATTTTGGTTCATTGTTTTGGAGGCTGAAAGTCCAAGCCTGGCTGGCCACACCAGGCACGGGCCCTGTGTCCTAACATGGCAGGTGGCATGTCACTTTGTAACTCCTTGCTCTCCTGATAAGTAATACAGTCCCTTGAGACCCCGTTTCCACAAGATGGGCGTTAATGTCTTAGGTGCCCTCTGCCCTAACTACCCTTTAGGCACCACCCTCCACCTCAGAGTACTGCTACACCAGGGACCTGGCTTCTAGCATGCGAACCTTGGGGAACAAATTGTACCTAACCACAGCACTTCCTCTCTTGGTCTGCATTTTTTTGAGGACTTGCTTAGTAAATTATTTCCTATTCTGATTGCATCAAGACAATCTGAATTTTCTTGAGTTCTCTTTTTTCTTTTATGCAGAAATATTTGAGTTACTTGAAATTTTAGTTTTTTTCTTATGGCAAAGGTTCAGATTTTTGTCTTTTTTTAAAAATTTTTTTTTTTTTTTTTTTGACAGGAAGAGTGGACAGTGAGAAACATTGGTTCACCCTCCAATGGCTGCCGCGGCCGGTGCACCACGCTGATCCGAAGCCAGAAGCCAGGTGCTTCTTCCTGGTCTCCCATGGGGTGCAGGGCCCAAGCACTTGGGCCATCCTCCACTGCACTCCTGGGCCATAGCAGAGAGCTGGCCTGGAAGAGGGGCAACCGGGACAGAATCCGGCGCCCCGACCAGGACTAGAACCCGGGGTGCCAGTGCCGCAGGCGGAGGATTAGCCTAGTGAGCCACGGCGCCGGCCAGATTTTTGTCTTATTCTTGCAAATGCATTATCCCTGTTCCGTAGAATATTCCATTCTTTTCCCTATTGACTTTTGGGGAGGGGGGTAAGAGGGAAAATAATGTTTTTATTATTTTAGCTGCAGACTTACAAGGAATAGCAGGTTTGATTCAAGGAGAAGACAGGAAAGCATCAGAGATTCTGCAGATCTGGGGACCATCCTAGGCCTTTAAAGGCCGACAGCACGACTGTCCTCTCCCTTGGTTTTCTGAAAAAGCAGTTCTTGAACATCAGTCACTGAGTCTGTTTTGATGAACCACTGAAAACACACATTTTATAGCAGCTAAGTGTGTTAGTGATAATTTCTCTTTTTTGGGTTTCAAAACACGTTTCATAAAGTT